CCTTGATTTGTTCGAGCTGGATTTTTTGCAGGAATTAATAATTCAACACAAAAAAATAGGAGGCTACTGAGTGAATACCCACTAGGGGCAGAAATTAGTGGTTATGGAGTTTGGAGAAAAAAATTCCCTGGAACGGCAGAATTGTCCTTTGAATTACAATATATAAATATATATTTGTACTGTATTTTATAAAAAAAATGTAATATCACACTGAACCTGATGTTGGCATAAATAACATTATAATCGACTACTGACCTATTTAAGTACTACAGGCGGTCCTGCACTTAAGTTGGACTTCCGTTCCTACGTTGCAACGTAACTCAATTCTCACTATAAGAACTCACAGACTGTACATCAGTACCTATGACACTCACTTACGCTAACACGGTGCTAACATCATTATCTAAGACAAGCCTGGGAGCCGTAATGAAGGGCAAAAAAAAAACAAAAAACAACAGAAACGACAGAAAGCGAATAGAGAAACAGATATAAACAAAGATGTCATCAGCGTATAGCAGCATGTGACAAAGTATTTGTCCGCTCTAATTGGCCAGTTTAAATGCCCTATGTCCGAATGATGGAACGAGACTTTCTTAATAAATGTATGGAAGAGGGTGACGTAACCACAAAACGCCGTCGGTTGAGGACGTCGTGAACCGAGGACCCCCGCCCCCGGCACATTCTCTCTTAATGACTCACACTTGAGTTATTAACACCACCTTTTTGAAGTGACCTGAGACGTTTGTGCAAGGATTTGAACCAGCAACCCTCGAATTACAACCGCACCCTTTAACCACTGGACCACAGGCTGACCTTTGTGATTGTTTTTCTCATTATGTTAACAAGTGTGGCTGACTCAGTCTCTATGGTCTGACTATTGTAAAGGTGTTGTTGAGGTCGCTAATTTGTTAACCTCACCGCAGCGACGGCGTCGCAGCTCAGACCGTTTAGTCTGTGGTTCTTTTTCAGTCAGGAATAAAGAGAAAAGGAAGCAGTCGATGGCTGCAGACCTTTGAACGTGGCTCCTCCAGAGGTGTTCAAGGAAGATTCCATCATGCGCTTATTAAATCTGTAGCGTTTATATTCATCAGTCAATAGTCTTTTTATCCCTGGATGATGTTGTCACTCAGCGATCACGCTGTTTAATAACCAAAGTCGAATGATTTAAAAAAAAAGAAAAACGTTTTATCTCGTAATGAGATTATTTTTTGGAATGTTTTATTTTCCACTCAGGTGGACTGACATGAAGACGGAGCTGAGAATTAACAGTAATTACTAACTAACTGTGATTAATGTACAAATCTGTCCTCGACAGACTTTTTAATTAAACTAGTCAGAACTGGGGCTTCATGTTTCAATGTCTTAATATAACTAGTGGATTATCTGAATCCACTAGTTATATTTAGTACATTTTTCTGACATTTCATTTAAATTTTTTTTTTGTGAAATGTGCATAAATTTGACCAAATGAAATTCCACTGGTTCCTGTGGTGTTGAGCTCAATCACGTAGTTTTTCTATTTGTTGAGTGTGTAGTACCTTACCAATTAAGACAAAAGTTGACTGTGCAGTCGGAATGACAGATGGGTTCAGGGTCGGAGTGAGTTAACTTTAACACTGTTGATGGACAAGTCGGCAATTTAGAGGTTGGTAGAATGAAGACGGGATGTGTGTGTAATTCAGAGTGTGTGTTTGTACTGCTACTGTATCTATATAATTACATGGTGATAGGTGTCTGGGGTGTCTCTGTGTGACCTTAGGGACAATTAAGATTGAGCTGTTGTGTGGAGAAGCTTGAAGAACTGTTCCGATGGTTTGACTGAGAAGAGATGGAACGATGTTGGAGATAAAGCTGTCAGTAAAGAGGAAGAAGAAAAAGAAAAGTCAAAGCAAAGATTTGACGTACCAGGGTACAGTTGTAAATATTTCTCCATATCATCCATTTACGACTCAACACATCTGAACCACCATGTTTCTTTATATTAGACTTTTAGTTATGAGGAAATTTTGAGGCTTCATCTGTTACAAAGCTACAGTAAATATTTAAACATATTTAAAATTAAACTGGGTTTAAAATTTGCTCAGATCTTAATATTGTTATTTTTGTGTGTGAACATAATCAGTCAAAGTTGTTGGAGAAGCCGAGAAGAAACGCCTCAGTCGACATTAAACATTAACAGTGAATCTTCTTCATAGTCTGTGCGAGCAGATATTTGTACGACTTCATCATCTGATATAATGTTGTTATTTCACACAGTCCTGGAGTTAATAGTATTTAAATTACCCTCTCTCATTGTGAGTTGTTTCTTCAGATCAGCAGCATTAGCATCAGCAGGAGTGAAGTACGATCGCTGTGTAAAGTTGGCCAGGAGAGCATCTGTTTCCACTCAGGTCTATAAACTCTGTCTCCTTGGTTAAACTAACTCATATTAACCAGGTGAAAAAAACAGACATTAAAATGACAACAACAGAGTAAAAAACAACATTTGACATTTTCTCAGATATAGGTTGGAGTGTCGCTCCGCCCTGGTGGTGATGTGTGTAAACAGATACACTCTGGCAGCAGTTTGATTTCTCTTTCATAATTCATGGCTTCTTCCAGCCCGACTGCATGTAAGATACGGCCGCTCCGACTGTAAATCAAGCTATTTATAGACAACTCTTCCTTTATATCCTCATACGCTGACAAACCCAATCCATTATGATATAAGTACAAGTCTCACATTAATCACTGGATACAGCTTTATGTAGACACAGCCTGCTGCTGGTACATAGTGTTACAGAGAGAGGGGGAGTAGAGGTGTGTGTGTGGGGGGGTGGAGGGGCGGCGGTGATTCTTCTTATATCTGAAAAGCAGGCGAAGGTGAAGGGAGAGGAGGAGGAGTGTTGGTGGTGGTGAGGGGGGTATGAATCAGATGGATGAGCGAGGGCTTAGCCTGGCGGTTATTGATCCTTTTTGCTCCAGGAATGATCCAGACCCTCGTCTGAAGACACCTCTCCCTCCACCGCCATCCCCCCTCGTCCTCCTCCTCCTCCTCCTCCTCCACTCTCTGTTCTCTACATCCTTTAAAGGCTCTCGCTCACACAGTTTGGCAACACTCGGTGTGGAGCTGATAGGATGAGATCCTATCACTTTGAATAAATCTATTTCAATATGCCACAAACCCCCCCCTCATCGGGGGCCTCCACCGACTCCATCTGTGTGTGAGGAGAAAAGATGCATCACTGCTCTGATTGAAGATAATGCCATGTGTCAGTCAACCTGTTTGGACTTGTTTAGAGTGGACTGGATAGGCATTTGGACGTGTGTGTGTTTACTGGATGGCATGTGTGGCTCTATTAAATTATCGGTGCACTTTTTATTTTCCCATCATGCCATGCCCGTGGTGTTATGAGCATACCTTCACATGAATAAGAAACACAGGTGTATTATCTCTCTCTTTGATATCTTTGTCGTTCTTCCAGGTCTGTTATCTAAAGAGCTTAGTTCGATCAACTGGACTTGTTCTTGAAGCTTAAAAGACGTTTCGTTCCTCAACTGAGGAACTTCATCAGTCTCAGGTTGATGTGAGAGGGAACACGTGTAGTTATACTTCTCTAGACCTCTATCTTCTCCACTTGACAAAGGAGTCAAGTACAGCTCTGTACTCCAGATAATACAGGTGTATTATCCTCATTGTATTTAGAGTTTCTTTCTTGTCAAAACTGCTCAGTTCTGTATATGTGAGCAAACACAATGAATACACCAAGACGCAGTAGTTGTTTGGTGAATGAATTGTTATCACTGTAGTAAAATGTAATGCATCACTCAAAGTAGTTTATTTTTAAATATTTACTTTAAATTACTTCAAAAAAAACCCCTTAAACTAAGACGAAAAATAAATGTTCTATTTCTGAGGTGTGTTAAATCTGCAGGTCAGAAATACAGCGAGCTAATACGCTAACAAATGCTGCCTTCAACACATCTTATAATTTAGCATGAAATCCCGAGGGGCTAATAATGAGTCCTGGTACTGTAAGGAAAATTCAAACCACAACCTGTGACTTGGCCACTAGATGTTGCCAAATCTTACACATTTTACCTTTAATTCAGCAGCTCAGTGTTAAACAACTCCTTTGTCTGTTCATGCAGCCAGTGGAAGTGACCTACATACTGTACAAGGACGTGTCTTATGAAACAGAGTGAGCAGAGTAAATGGTCCTGCCCTCCACTCCATCACATCTTCTGGTTAATCATATCAGTCCTTCCCAACCAGAGGTGCACGGACCAACAGTGGTCTGCCAAGACAATATGAAGGGGTCATTTCTTACGCTGATTCTTATTCATTCATTCATCTTCTACTACATAGTCCTTTTCAGGTTGTGCATGACAATCCCAGAATTCAATAGGAAATAAATATAACACGGTGCAGGATGTGCATGCCAATCCTAGAATTCAATAGGAAATAAATATAACACAATATTTAATACAAATAAAATAAAATCACAATATTTTAACACAATATTGTTGTACGGTGAAGTTATTAAAACTTTTAATTCCTCATTGTGGTAAATGCAATGGCATTTTCTATTATTTATTTTTCTATTTATTTATATTATTTTGATTATTTTATCTAGAATTGGATTTTGAAAACGACCATATATACATTTTTAAATAGTGTAGTGGTGTCGTTCCTGCCAGTAGGGGTTGCTCATGCCTTACAGAGGTGATTGGACTCCATAATGTTTTTACAGAAATGATTGAACCACAAAGATATTTTCATTTATTCATCTGTTGTCATTTTTAACCACTTTTTGAAGTTAAATCAACACGTATAGGTGTGGGGGAGTGAAGGGGGAGTAAAGGGGGAGGCTCTGGCTGTGATAAAAAAATAACAGACTAGAGGTGACAAAAAAAAAGGATGTGAACCACTGATATAACCGACAGATGCCACAATGAGTAACGCTAACATTTGTATCACCTCTGTCTTCCCGCCTCTTTCTCTCTGTCCCTTTAAACAGAGGACACGGGAAGAGGGGACGGACGAGCCGTAAATACCAACAAAAGAGTGTGACAATGAAGAACTCGGACCGCCGCGGCAGGAGCGCATGGATGGCACAACGCGCGCCCACATCACCACCACCATCACCACCACCACTCACAGAAACACACTCCCGTAACAACACACTTTGATCACGTGGGACCAAACTTGGCCGAATAGGAGGGCGAGTCCGGGCAGTTGTACGTTTCCGACCGCCATTACATTACAATGCGTGGTAGGCTGGAGGTGGGAGCGCGTAAAAGACAAGAAAACACACAGAGGGAGAGAGAGGGAGAGAGAGTCAAGACAAACACACACATGCCACAGTCAGGACACACACTCGTTGCACTTATTTGCCAATAAAAGATCAGATAAACAGCGTGGAAGGAGCAGGAGCAGCAGCAGCAGGAGGAGGAGAGGGAAGGAGCAGAGCTGACATCATGCGCACATTAGTGAGAATTTAATTCAATAATAATCAAAGCGTTTTTTCGCAGGAGGAGGAGGAGGGAAAGGAGGAGGAGGAGGAGGAGGAGGAGGGAGAGGAGGAGGCGGGACGTGCTGTTAAATGTGGAAATAAAGAAAACACTGCACAGTGCAGTGGAGTGTTCGCCCCGCACACGGACGTCCGTCACTGGCTGTGATTGTGCATCATTGTTGACATTATTATTCCTGATTATTTTTCATCTTCGTGTCTGACGTGATCTTTATTTTCCTCTGCGCAGGACCTGAGGTTGTTGTTGTGGCCACGACGGGACGTTTCGTCATGATATAAAAACTGAAAGGAAGGAAGGATTTTTTTTTTCTCCCTCTAACGTCCTTCCACAGGAGACTGACTGACTGACTGACTGACTGCCTGACTGACTGACTGACTGACTGCTGCTGCTGCCTCTTTAAATCCACCCGCAGCTGGCTCTGATTGGAGTGGGCAGGGAATAGTTCCGAGAACGCTTTCTTGAAGGGAATTCTGATCGCGGAGCAGCAGAATCTTTTTTCCCCCCTCTTTAAATCCACGCTATTACAGACATTACTGTAAGTGTGTGAATGTCCGTGAAAGTAACTGTATGTGTGTGTGTGTGTGTGTGTGTAAGTGAGGGCTACATTGTGAGAGGAGCGCGTTGTGGTAAAGAAAGAAGGCTATAAATAGCTCATGCAATTCTGGAAAACTATCACAAGTGGTGCATCAGCGTGTGGAGCAGACGGAGTCACGGATCCTGCGTGGAGCCCGTGATCATCACAGTCACCCGGACCTCGGCTCCGAGCGGCCGCCGCTGGGTTGGAGAATATTCTTTGAGGAAGTTCTGAGGTCGTCGCCTCCTCATGGCTGGATTATGATCGGGATTCTTTTGAATCAGGAAACTAGCAGCGGTATGGAGACAGGCTGATCCGCCTCCCGACTGTCGCTCTGCCTCTGTGTGTATGGATTGAAATGGATCCATGTCTGAGCAGCTCTCCGCCTCCGACGGTGGTCAGATTTGGAATCGCCTGACCTGGATTGTGCCTAACAATGTTTTGATCCCTTCACACGCTTGGATTTACAACGTTACAACCTATAGATCAGAAGGAGGAGGAGGTTGTGGAAGAGGAGGAGGAGGAGAGGAGAGAATAGGAGGAGGAGGAGGAGGAGGAGGAGGAGGAGGAGGAGGAGAGGGAATAGACTTCATGGATGCGTTCGGTACTTCGTTCTGAATACGCCCAGTCTTTTACCCGAACACCAGAACCTTCATTCTGCCTGGACCTCTCTTTGTGATCGGGATTATTTGGGGCAGACGCTGCTCGGTGCTGGATACCGATGTAGGATTCCGACATGCCCAGCGCTGACGAGCCCAACCGCGGACGATTATGACTACAACGGCGAACTGGGTGGCTAACGGGGCAAGCCTGGAGGACTGCCACTCCAACATCTTCTCTCTGGTACAGTATGACTACACGCAGCACTCACTGACAGCCCATCAGACACGGGTGGACGCGCGTACATGTGCGTGCTGTACAAAGGTGAACCTTTTTACTCCTGTTGTTGTTAAAGCAGTGGCGGTCCTAGCCTATTTGGCGCCCTGGGCCATATAGTCCCGCCCCTATCCTCTGACCCCTCCCACTGCCCCTTCCCTGAAAAAAAAGTTTTTTTGTTTGCTAAAAATAACTTCTATCTGACACAGTATTTACGAAAACATATATGAACAACATATATAACCAACAGTGGTTAGTGTTTCCGCCTTACATCGGGAAGATCACCGGGTCGTAATTGATCCCTGTATAAGACACAGGTGTACAGCTTTTCAGGGGCTGGATTCAATTACATTTAATTCATAAATATATACTATATATTTGTATATACTCGTGAGGACGTAAACCCTGTTTGCTTAGGTTTTTCTAAGTCTCTGAACTTTTATTTTTAGTGTTTACTATAAATTGACATTAGGTGTAAATTTTGGTGTGAATCATTATTTCTGTCTTTGATGGACCGCGGCTACTGTCCACCTTATATCCTACTGTCACTGACGAGTATTTAGCAATTAGTACATAAATTAATCAAAAGTCGAAAAATTTGAAATAAATGATCATAATAATTAACCTTGACTCGACTGATGAAGGTGTGACAGGAAATGGAAAAAAAAATCCCCCAAAATATAATCTTTTGATTGATTTTGAAGTCACAGTGCCTGTGCTTGTCTAATGTCATGATGCTGCCCTGGGCCGCTGCCCATGTCGCCCATATCAGAACCTGCTGCTGATGGTAGGCATGAGTGGATGTGCCTGCTGTACAAAGGTGATAAATCATCATGTGCTGTTATCAGGCAATCTTTAACACGGGTTAGTGGAGAGGAATGAAAAAGAAGAAGAGAGAAACACCTGAGCTTATGATTAAAAAAAAAAAAATCCCAGTTATTATAAACATTAACCCCAAGGACTTAAATCAGCCGACCCCGCTTTATGATCCGATCTCAATCCAAGTCTTATCTTTGTTGGTGCGATTAGATGATAAGGTACTTCCAAGACAAGCTGCTGATTTTGGCACGAGTCGGAGTGCAGTCCACTTTTTTGGCCGTGAAACAATAGGCCAGATATTCAGTAACAACTCATGTCTTCCATTAAAAGCACAGCGAGCTCCAGCCCTGATCCTCCGCCCCTTTATATCATCATTTCACTGGAAATGTTGGACAAACTCGGTTGCATTGCCAAGCAACTAAGTCTTGGAAAGACATACTCCTGTCTGTGCAACCAGAGAGAAACAGAGAGACGAGGATTGGTGAGCGGGGCTGGACGATGTGTTTGAAATAAGTTATTATTACATTACAGGGGTCTTGACTGCAACAGATGGTGGTTTTTAAAAACTACAATCGTTAACGCAGCCAGCAAATATTTCCCCTCGTTAGTCGTCCTTTGAGGTAATTCTCAGTGTTTGCTCAACTTTTCTTTTTTTTTTTTGGCTTTTTAAAAAATACTCACCACCAATGTCAGTGATTTTACAGTATCTTACACCTAAAGTATTTTCATTTATAATTACATTAAAATATTTTCTTGTGGTGTTTTGTTTCCACTAGTTGGATAATTCTGCTGAAAATATTCCAAATTTACAAAAATATAAATATAGTGAGACAGGGCTCCAGGCTTGGTTTCAGTTTTAATGAGCTGGTGAGACTATTTAAACAGCACTACTAGAGCAGTGTTTTATTTTTGTATTTTTGTAAAACCATTTCTGTTGGGACCAACGTTTGAAGGACAACAACCGTCGCAAAGCGGTTCCAAAGTAGAAAAACCTACATTTCAGATTCTTGGATGAATGTTTCCATCTGTTCATGATCGACTTTGATTGTGTTTGTGTTCATAAGTGTTCAGCTTTCATACGTGTGCAGTGTTTCTAAATACTTCTGGTAACAGAGAAACACTTGAGGTGATGTTGACTCTTGACTGATTGCTACTGCTGTGTGTTAGTGAGCGAGATCGTGGTATTTTTTTTCTTTTTCATTTGTGTAATGGATATTAATTGAGAGTAGTGTGGTGCAGTAGACAAAAAGGTTGGGTTACATCAGAAAGGACGTCAAGTGTGGAAAAAAATGAATCTAAATCACCACTGTTGCGCCCCCTGTAGAAGGAGACGCTGCAAATGATTTAGCATATTCTTCTTTTTTAATGGACATTGAGACACTTTTGCAGCCGTCTGTTGTTTTTAATGATTTTGGAAAAGGTTGGGTTACATCAGAAAGGACATTTTTTAATGGACATTGAGACACTTTTACAGCCGTCTGTTGTTTTTAATGATTTTGTTTAATAAATGAACCTTAGAGATGTGGCCTAGTTTAGAGAAATCTTTGGTAAATGCTTAAAATATCGACCAATTGTCTGGACGCTTCTGAAAGTATTTTCGGATCGGTTGTGTAGCGGTTGGACCCTCAGTCATCTGTCATGAAGAAAGTTCCAGTTTTGAGTCCACCTTCTCCCCAGTCCCAGTTTGTATTGCCCCCTCTTGATTGGATGGGAAGAAAAGTGATTTTGTCCTGTGATTTAGTTGGTCATAGTATAAATACCATCACTATAATAGTTAGTCTCATTCTCTGTGCTAAATGTTAAAAAAATGTGTCAATTATGAATTGCGGAAAAAAAGGTTACTTAATAAATTGACTCAAACATTAAAAAGAATTGAAAATGTCCAAAATCCCACATAAAACATTTAAACTAATGTTTAACTTTCACTTTCACTTTCACTGGACTGGATATGTCGCCTACTGATAAACCTTTTGTTAAACTGCTGATTATTAGGAAAAAAAATCACTTTGGCTTTGAGGACCACCTAGGGCTGTGGACCCTATATTGAAGACTGCATTAGAGATTGTCTGTGGAAAAAATATTTTAGACACAGAGAATATCCTGCAGAGGAAAACAAGCTGATAAAAAGAGCGCACAGAGGAAATGTTAGTTTCACACTTGGTCTGAAAAAAAGAGAGAGAGAAGGAGGTGATTCAGAATCTGAAGGCGATGATGTGGTTTTTGCACAACTTACTGCTTTTGAGGGTGGTTTAGAAATGGAGCCAGTGTTTTTTCACAGTTCTCAATCTGCAATCAGCCAGTTAACTCTTCCACTACAACAGGCAGCAGAGTGGAAAGGCATGCAGCAGACTGAGCTCAGGCACAGGCAGCTAACAGCCACAACAACACAGGGGTCCGCAGGGCTTTTTAGGTGATCGCGCCGTTTGTCTGTCAGCAACAGCCGCCGGCCACAGTTACACTTTCACTTGCACCAAAGCTAAATAAACAAGTGCCACATGGCGTGGATTTCAGCGACGTTGTAGTAAAGTCATGCACTTTACTCCAAAAATTCAAACAAAGCTTCAGGAACTGTTCCATTTCCAGTAGTTTATTTTGTGTTTTGTGACAGTAGGGTGATGAGACAGGGTGATACTTATGGCTGTTTGGTGATTTTTTTTTTTAAAGAAATGTATTTAATGTATAATAAGTGCCTTTGTGTAATTTGTATTATAATCTGAGATACTTAATTTTTGAAGCAGATATTTTGAGCAGTTTTATGTTTGTTGACGTTTTCATCAATCATTGAAAAAATTCATACACAGATAAATGTACCTCGTCAGAGCACTGCTAGTTTTTACTACCAGTGTTTCTATCATGCAAAGAATGCTAAATGTGGGCAAAAACATACTACCGTATTTTCCGGACTATACGTTTTTTCATCCTTTGGCTGGGATTAGGACTTGTACTCAGGTGCGACTTGTATATTAAAAATAACAATAATAAAAAGTTTCATAAGCTGCTTCCATGTTTCTCCTCTGAAACTCCTCAGAATCATCACTGGGATCACTACAGCGGGCCTACAGTGTCAGCATCTTAAATTCTTGGCCTGTCGCTGAAAACAGCGATTACATCTCTGTCAGCGTCTCACTTCAGGTCTTATTCCTTGGTGGTAAAAGCTTTCATTCACCCGCCCGGGCGTTGCTGGCCATTGTGCTGCCCCCGTGAACATCCCCTTCAAAGTGAGGCAGAGAGAGGGACCATCCATCAGCTAGCTTGTTGAGAATATTTATGACTGGCTGCCTGGTGCCACAGCGGTTTCTCACTGGCAGGGGCTCCTGCAGCAAAGTCCAAGAAGAAGACGGAGCGCTAATGACACGCTGAGCGCCCTGGTTAGAGGGGGCGACCGAGGCGCAGAGAGAGAGAGAGAGATGTAGATTGTATCCTGATGTTTGGACTGTGACTGATGTGTGCTGTGAACTACACAAGCGCAGGCCATGAACTTTTTACTGCAAATACACTTAGAAATAAAAGAGATGTTAGCTCAGAATTGCTAACCGCTAGCAAAATATAGCAATAAGTTGTTATAGCAAAAATAGATAAACAGGAGCGTGTTAGTTTAAAGACATTAGATTATCATGATAATGAGGATTATCATCATAAATTATACTAAAAGGTTAGTCAAAAGTGACTGACCACTAAAACATAAAATTAGTAAAAGATTTGTAAACGTTAGTAACCAGGATGTACTATGAAAGCCAAGAAGAAAAATATAATAAAGTTTAATTGTAACTAAATATTTAACCAAGAATAGCTAAAACGTTACCTTACTAGAACATCAAGTTAGCTAAGAAAACATCAAAAAGCTAGCCATGAATAGCTCCACCTTAGCCAAATTGTGTTGCTAATTGCTAAAACGGACTCTACATTGATTAACTTTGAGAATTTAAGGGAAATATTTACGCTGATTACATACAGTAAGACCCATCCACGGGCCACTACTGGCCCTCTGGCCTTACTTTGAGCATACCTAACAAATAGCATAATATGGTTTAGACCCGGTCAGGTTTAAGTTTTGTCACCTGGGGACATGTTGAAGGAAATTTCCAGGTACGGAGCCTGAGTCTGTATCACGACTTCCTCGTCAGCTTTCTCCGCAGGCGGCGGTGGCG